AGCTGCTTGGTGGAGTGTTGTGCAGGCACTATGCGCTCTGTGCGCAAAAGCACCAAAGAGCTCAAATACAGGTAAGGAGCTTGGGCAGGCAGGTGGGCCCTCCGGAGCACCATACTGGAACAGTACCCAGTGCACTGGGCAGGCACCGGTACACCCATACCAGGGCATACCGCCTGCAATCCACCACTGAACTCATCCTATTAGATATGGCATAAAGGGTATGTTTTGGGTCCTTCTGCTAGGGACATACATTTAGTAAGACCATCTCTGCTGTGACACTCACCTAGTGGAATACACTGTTCCCCAACCCAAGGTTCAATTAGCTCTATTCCTTTTGGTTTCCTCTAAGTCCCTTAAGACAAAGTATGTCATCAGACCTGAGGATTCCAGGGAACCAGAAATATGGTCAGATGGCTATACTAGTGAGGTAGATAATGTTTCCATACACTAGGTTGGTATATTTATACTCTTAATTTTAACACTCTGAATCTTTGGCCTTGATTTTTTTATATATTTATATGAATGTTTTATAGATGCATTGTTTTATTGGATTATTGTACATCACCCAGAGTCACCCTTGTTGAGATAGGTGGCCATGTATATCTAATGAACAAATAAATAAATAAATAAATAAATAAATAAATAAATAAATAATAAATTCATTTCTATAGAATTTGCAAAGAAATAGCATAATAGTCTCTTGCAGCCAAAACAGATAAGTTTCTACTGTCACCTTAAAGATTGTTTATTATTCCAACAAATAACAGTCTCAATCACCTTGTTGTTTCTACATGGGAGTTGATTCCAGTCATCTAATAGGATTTATCTTGGATAATCTTTAAAATACCACAGAAGTCCTATTTGTTTTATCTTAGAGCAAGTACTACATATTTAACAGGATTTAAACAGAATTCTGACAGAATAGACAATATAAATTATATATTTACATAGCTTTGTATTAGAAACTTTTAAATGTCTAACTAAAACTAATTTGATATCTAAAGCCTACTAATATTGGTGTCCAACTTTGTGCCTCAAAAGTCCCTCATCAAGAAATATGCTGTAGATTAGCACTTGACAGAGCAGCCATGAAAGATGCTGTGATGAGTCTGCCCTCACAAAGATCAGAGTAGTGCAAGAAATGCTAGCAATAGTATTTCCTGTGTTGCTCTATGGAAGTGAAAGTTGGACTTTGAAGAAGCAGGATTGAAAGAGGGTGCTGGTACTTACCTGATACGCCTCTTCTAATAGTGGAGAAGGAGTATCCATAAACATCACCTTGAGGGTTAAAAACTTTAGTGACACTGTTTGTAATGGCTCAAACGAGGCTCCT